GTGTTGTTCAAGATATAACATCAATAAATTTACAAAACGTTCCACTCCTCTCCAAAGAACCTGCAAGTTCTCCAGTAGCACCTGATGAACATCAAATTACTCCAGCCAAGTCCTAGGGGAGCTCTATGAAACCTAATGTCCCTTAGGACTTTCATGGAGATGAATACCTTCCTGAAGAACATGCACACACTCTCTTGGGGATTTTCGTTGGAAGAGTCTTGTCAGAAGAGCTAAAGAACTTTTTCTTGGCTGATCTTCCTCAACCTAAAGAGAATCTTAAGCCATGTATGGGACAGAGATAGCAATGTTCCAAATCTTTTAATGAGACAGTAAATTAGAGCTTTGAGGTACACTAGTATCTAGATTTGCTCCTTCTGAAACACCTTCTCCTTGCTATTCTCTACTGGGATTCACTGAGTTATTAACCTTCCTCCAATTCTCTTTAAAGATTCTGCACTTAACCTCCAAGCAGTTATACTGAATAAATATTCAATAGAGTATTTTACCCTAAAAACAAGATGAGATTTCTCTTGGACCAAGCAAGGATCAGATTAGGACTTTGAAGCATCTAAAAGATCTTGACAGACTGGTCAACAATAGAGTAAGAAAGAAGGAAAATTATTTATGATGAACAAAACTAGCATAAAGCTGAGATTCTATCCAAGATACAAATCTAATTAAATAATCTCATGATTGTCAGACTCTCTCTTAATCTTAGTATTCAAGAAAGGAAAGATATGGATCTGAAGGGTGCCTAATCCATGCCACACAATAAGGGTTTACCTATCCCTGCCTGATAGTACCAACCAGAGAGAGCTGTGAACTGAACTATCTGCTAATACACTCAGATCACAGCTGCTCCTCCATGTTCCAGCTGTGAAAAAACCCAAATATCAACTAAAACCAAACTAACCAACGAAAACAACCAACCCATTTTCACTTTACAAGCAGAACAGGTCAGGATGTGTAGAACCAGACCTGATGACCCACTGCAATCATGCTACTGATAACTGCAGCAGCAGCAGAGAAGTTTCTCTACACGCTGTGCAAAGACTGTGTCCAGATATAAGAGCAGCTCCCCTGAACCACAAGCTCTTTTTAGAGGCTTTTCCAGGTGCATCTGAAGGCCTTTTGCTCTGACCATCACTATATGGTAAACACAGGTTGTGTCCAAAAGGCTCCATTCCAGGACCTGTGCTCTGCAAGTTCCTCATGAAGGACTTGGATGTGGGACTGGAAGGCAGACTTAAGTAAGTTTGATGACACGCAGTTGGGAGGAGCTGTTGACTCCCTTGAAGGCAGAGATGTGCTGCACAGAGATCTTGACAAAGGAAAGGGCTGGGCAATCCCCAACTTAACATGTCAAGTGCCAGATCCTGCCCCTGTGCCAGGGCAGCCCTGGATGCATGGACAGACTGGGGAACAAGAGGCTGTGAACCAGCCATGTGGAAAGGGACCTGGGAGTCCTTGGCTGGTGGCAAGTTTGATCTGAGGCACCAGTGTGCCCGAGCAGCTCAAAGTATCACCATGTTCTGGAGGGCACCAGGCCTGGCATCACCAGCCTGGTAAGGGAAGGGATTCTCCTGCTCTGCTCTGTGGTGGCCACACCTCCAGTGCTGGGGGCACAGAAGGAGCCAAAGCTGTTGGAGAGTATCCCAAGGAGGGACACGGAGCTGGGGAAGGTCTGAGGAGCGGCTGAGGGCACTTGGCTCGTTCAGCTGGAGCACAGGAGATGAGGGGAGGCTCCT